TTTTTTTTTTTTTTTTTGCCAACAAAAGTATAAACACAAGGCAAAATGATTCGTGCTGCGCCAGGTTCCCAGGTGCAAGACCAGTTACGGAGTTTATGGAGCCCAGGGAAAAAGGGAAATGCAGAGCCCTTTACTCATAAATCAGGAATTTTAAGGCAGTGAACAGCAGCACTGAACCAAGGACGGCCCTCTGCATGACCGACAGGCCGCGTCTCCACATAGCCAAGTGCCCAGGTCCCTGCCACCTCCCATGACACCGTCCATGCTGCTGTGGACTCCGTCTGATGTTGAGAGCCCGTCCCAACCCACTTCCAGAAAAGTGCATCTCACTGATAAACACTACCCGCCACGGAGACCCCAGCCCCTGCCCCTCCTCCACAGAGCCTTCTGGGTACAGACTGCCTGGCTCACAGTCCCTCTCCCTGACATCGGTTATCCTACCACATGATGCATGTGTCACTCATACTAGAGTGAAATCTAGGGACAAAATCCATCTCTCTCATTTTATGTCCCCATGGTAGCGTGTCACTTGTGAGACCACGTCGTGGACGAACTTCAGAGCATGGGTCCCCGAGCACAGGGCTGTGCAGGAGCTTCCCATGGGTGGACACCTTGACCTAGGGCCAAACCGGGCTAGTCCAGGTGCCCACAGCCCCAAGGCTCCTCCACCTCGACCAAGGCCAGAGAGGCCCATCTAGACTTGTGTCTCAGGACGTCTCTGCCACAAACCACACTCAGGGGCCCCAGCCGTTTTCTGCAGGAACCCAAGGACCCTGCCATGGTGGTCACTGCCCAGGGACGAGGCTGCGAAACGCCCATCGTGAGCAGCAGCATGCTCCCCTGCTCCATCAGGGCAGCAGGGCCTCACCGGGGTCCAGGTGTCCACACTGAAGACCACGCCCCTCTCAGTGTAGTTGATGTTTCTTCCAAGACCCTTAGTTCTGGGCGCCGTCACGTTCCTGTGAAAGTCAATCTTCTGCACTTTTGCCCTGTTGAAAGACAGGAATAATAAGATGGTTAAGGCAGAAAACAACCCACCCCTGAGCGACCGAAGCCGACGGTCAAGTTAGTCACAGGTTAATCACACGTCTTAACATCCGAGGGTTGAAAAACGACACAAAAATTTTTAGAAAAATCTTCATTGCACAAAATCTTTTAACAAACAAATTTCTGAGGCTTAAAAACCTGTCCTAAAAAAAAAAAAAAAAACCCTGATATTTCTGAGGGTGCTGAGGCCAGACAATGGGAGTTCAAGGCCAGCCTAGCAGTGAAGCAAGACTCTATCTCAAAAAGGAAAAAATCTAAATACCTACTTTAATAAATTGAACACGAGTGGACCTTTCTGCACGTCTAACTCTTCTGCGGGGCCAAGATCGCTCTTCTGTCTTTCATCGCGATGCCTTCCGAGTCTCTTACTCTTACTTACCCTGAAATACCTCTGCTACATCATGTCCTCCAGGAAAGTCCCCGGGCCTGGGTGGGACACTGTGTACTTTCCCAGAGCGCCTGGCCTTTCCTCCCCATCGCACGACACTTACAGCTACCTGGTCAGTGCCACCTGGTCAGTGCCACCCGCCAGGAGCATGCCCCCTCTCGGTGCCCTCTGCGTGCCCCGGAGCTCCAGGGGACTAATGACTAACCCGGGTATTTTGTTCCATTTTACCAGTAGTAAACCGATTTCTACTGAAGGAATGGAGGGGGGTCAGGACCGGCTCCAGCTGGAGACACCCCCTCTTACACTACACAACCGCCCTCTAGCCTCTTCCCCAGAAATCACCAGAGGCTTCTCCACACCCCGCCTCACTGACAAATACTTCTTCAGGATGGAATCTGGGCAGGGTTTATAAGTTATGATGATTATGATAGTCCTGACAATACCAACTCCCAGTCAGTGAGCCCCTCAAGGCCAGCTTAGCAGTGAAGCAAGACTCCATCTCAAAAAGAAAAAACTCCACGTCCACCAGTGCCCGGACCCACACCATCATTCTAGGAGTGTGGATGTTTTTTCCATTCTGCAATAGGAGGAAGCCGTAGCTCAAGAGAAAACCCAGCAACTTGTCTCAACGTCACTGAGCTGTAAATTGCAGAGCCGGAGGGCGAGCCTGCATCTGCCCGTCTCCAGTCCTCCTGCTCCCAGCCTCTGTGGGCACCCCTCTGGGTGAGAGGTCCTTCTCCAAGAGTGACTTGGGAATCCACTTACGCGTGGCTGTGGTTTTGCTGGCCACCACATGCGATGAACAGAGGGTTCTCCGGCAGGTCGCAGGCACTGGGGAGACAGACGAGTGAGCAATTTCTCCACCTTCTTTTCAAGCATGAATTCTGAGAACCAGTGGTGAACTTGAAACCACCTTTGAAAGGGAGGGCCCGTGTGCTAACTTCCCACATCCAAGGGTCCGTGACCACACCACACAGGACCCAGTGAGAGCTCAGTGTTTCTGGACAGCGTGGCTAAGGGACTCGGGAGCGACGTGGCCATGCCGCCCACCAGCTCATACTCACGCCCTCCCTGGCCATCCTCCCATCTCTGCTCGGGCTAACGTGAAATGCCTGCCCAGCTGTGACCACTGATACCCAATGAATTTGGAATGCACAGTTTCCTTCTTTTAAAACAAGTCTACAAATTCAATAGTTAGGAATTAAGGAAATGAAGTCTCCCTTTTCCAAGTGGAAAGGCCCCTGAGCACACCAGAGACGACCTCTCGGAGGGTCCCAGCCCTCCACGGAGGAGCGAGGGCCTCGGCCTCCGAGGAGCGTTGGCAGGGAAGACCCTTCTGCAGGAGACGTGTGTGGAGGTCACCAAGGGAGGCCGGGCAGTGCGAGGGTCACAGAAGTCAGGGGGGAACTGGGAGAGGAAGCCAAAGAGGAGGGGAGGGGAGGAGGGCACGCCTCCCCTGGGCACGTGGAGCAGCATGGAGCTGAGGGGTGGTCCTCTGCCCCCGCACTAGGACCCAGACAGCAGCTGGTGACAAGTGCACCCACTGACAAGTGCATCTTGAGGTAAGTGGCCTTCCGGCTGGAGACACAAGTATCGCTATTTCACCGTTTCCTTAGGGAAATTTACTGAGTTTCAAATAACATGTGAGCTTTGGAAAATAACGTATTAGTAAATTGCAAGATGTTTGCTTTTGGTCATGGTCTTGTACTGCCTTTCAAGCCTTCTCCAAATTTCCCGTAAATTTCCATAAATCCTGACAACTTTTTCTTGTGTCTATATAAGAAGCAATCAATTTGTGGAATTTTTCATCTTGGGTCAAGTGACAAGAAATCGGTTCCTCTCCATTATTTCTTCCTAGTTAGAAATTAAGGTCTAGGGGTTAGAGTTGGGGCTCAATGGTAGAATACTCGCCTAGCACTTGTGAGTATTCTCAGCACCACATAAAAATAAATAAAATAAAGGCATTGTATTCATCTACAACTAATAAAACCAAGAATTTCCAAAAAGTTAAGGTCTACAACATATCTTTCCATACCTGTATAAAACCAAACCCAAAATAAATATCAAAAAATGTTTTCCAGCTGGGCATGGTGGCAAACACCTGGAATCCCAGTGGCTGAAGAGGCTGAGGCAGGAGGATTACAAATTCAAGGCCAGAATCAGCCACTTAGGGAGACCCTGTCTCTAAAAAATAAGAAAAAGGCCTGGGGGTGTGGCTCAGTGTTTAAGTGCCTCTGGGTTTAATCCCTGGTACCCTGCCACCAAAAAAAAAAAAAAAAATAGTTTTTCCAGCTTGATTGTTTCACATGGAGTGATATAAAATGGGGAGATGCAGGTCAGTCTAATGTGACCAGGTGTTATGAACCCGACTCCTTTCTAAGTATAATCACGGTAACCGACACCTAAGTGCTCACTACACGCGAAACCCTGGACGCGGTTGTGCTCATTCAGTCTGCACACCCCCCCGAGAAGGCAGAACAATTCCTGTCCCTGATTGACACCGAGGCTTAGGGAGGTCAGCAACTTGCTCCAGATAACTCAGTATGAGTGGCAGCTCTCTCAAATTCCAAAGCCCACCCTCTTTCCAAAAATGCACCTAAAAACCCGCAGCCACGGAGCGAGGCCTTGGGAATTTAACTTGAGGTTCATTTCACTATTAAAATGGTATTTGCATCAGATCACCCCAGCCAAGTGGTTACTCACCGACTCGTAAACACAGGTTTACTATGTACAAGCTGACGGCTGAACTTGGCATCAGAGGGCGCTCCAAACAGCACAACTTATAATCAGGACGCTCACCACATGAATCCCCGCAGGAGTTCGAGGTCCTAGCACACCCTCCAGTGTCTGCCGTTCTGGAGCTGTGCCTCTGGAGGCCACTCTGGTGGCCGGGGCACTCGGGCCTCCTACAGAGCTGTCCAGGAACAGCCTCCAGGGCACAGCTGCTGCCCAGAGGATCCCTGGTCCTCTGCTGTTGGCATCTCCAGGGCTCCCTGCTGGGCCCTGTGCCTGCAGCACAGGCTGCCTCCAGGGCTTCCCGTCTAACCCCACTGCTCCACTGGCCACAGGGTGCCAGGGCAGTACTGTCCACAGTGTGTTCACAGCAGATCCCGTGAGAGCCTGGCTGCAGCCTGGAGCAGGCGTCCAGCTGCTCTGACCTGCATTTGGCCTGAGTCTGGTCAACTCTCATCCTGAGCATGGCCAGGAGAGGAGGAAGAGGACTCGGGTGCAGCAGCTGTCCCATCTGGGCGGGTGTCAGCTTTCTACAGAGTGCCATATAGGAGGTGTCCTGGGGTCTGTCTGGTGGCTTCCCCTCTTTTAGGTGAGGAGCCCTCTGCAACCCTCAACCCTGAGAGGTCGTCAAGTGGACTGTGGCACACACGGTAGAGCCCTCTAGAGCCTGGGGAGGGCTGGCCCCAGCACAGATCCCCCCCAGAACAGTTGGGGTGCCACTTGGGGGTTGGGGAGCGATCCTTCCTGCCTTCACAAGTACCCCCTCCCACACACTTCGCAATACCCATCTCTGTTCCTAAAACCTGAAGGGCATCAGCCAAGCCCCGTGGATGGGAACCAGGAGGGTCCTGCGGTGCCGGATTTCCTGGCTTTCCTCCTTGAGCAGGTTGAGGCTGTACTTCACGAGATTGCTCCGTGTTTGTTTGATCAGATAAAAATCCCGAGAGCTAGGTGGGGAACAGGGTAGCAGGGCAGGTAGCGACAGGTTAGACAGTTATGGCTGCTCACCTGGTCCCATTCTCCAGCATGAAGCTCGTGAGCCGGTAGATATTGGTGGACCAGAACACCATGTCATCCAGTCCTCCAAGGAAATACTCCTGGAACTGTTCCACCAGAAATGGGGACTTTGTAGAGTACGTAGAATAAAGCTGCAGCAGAGAAAAAGAAAAAGAAACGAGGTGCTGAGCCTGCACCTGCATAAAGTCTCGAGTTGGGGAGGAATGAAGTCTTTACCTTGGAAACGGCTAACACCTCTCCATACCTGCAACAGAAACAAGGACTGATGGTAAATCACATTTTCTATAAGAAATGAAGCAAGCGCTAAAGAGAAAGGCCATCCACAGACACCCACTATGATGCATTTGCTCTGAATAAGCCAGATCTATATGACCAAAACCCATTCTCAGGAGCTCACACACAAGAAAGTCACAAGGAAAGCCATGCGCACGCCTGTAATCCCAGCAATTAGGGAGGCTGAGGCAGGAGGATTGCAAGTTCGAGGCCACCCTCAGCAACTTAGCAAGACCCCATCTCAAAAATTAAATAAAAAAGGGCTGGGGATGAGGCTCAGTGGTGAAGTAGCCCATGGTTCAGCCTCCAGTGCCCAAAATTTTGAAAAAAAAAAGACCCTTCCTCTGGGTTATACTCACATTTCTAAGAACTGAAGGTACGTACAATCAATGATGACATTTTTGGTAATGACTTCTCTGCCATAAAGTTTCTCATAAATTCCCAGTAGATCTTTGATGGGCACATACCTGAGAAATGCATTAGAATAAAATAAGAGACGTTTTGATTCTGAAGCTGAAGACAACAACAACAGCAGCTATTCTATGGTTATTCTGGCCAGATGCCATGCAAGGGTTTTCACGTGCACTGGTTACTGAATCCTACCAGTGACCTTGGTGGGTACTAACATGTCCCCATTTTATATAAGAGGTAGCTGAGGCAACAGAGAAGTTAAAAATTTGTTCAGTGATGCAGAGCAAACAGCACCTTAATCAAATATTTATGAAGGTATAAAGATTGAAAACTGGGCTGGGGATGTGGCTCAAGCGGTAGCGCGCTCGCCTGGCATGCTTGCGGCCCGGGTTCGATCCTCAGCACCACATACAAACAAAGATGTTGTGTCCACCGAGAACTAAAAAATATTTTTAAAAAAATTCCCTCTTTTTTTCCCTCTCTCACTCTTTAAAAAAAAAAAGATTGAAAACTAACTACAAATAACTCAAAGGGGCTATAATTTTGTGAATTTAGATTTCAAGAAGCAATTTTAAAGTAGCCTCATTTTTTTGAGTTAAATTATTCTCAAGAATCATTTTTTTAAAAAAAATCAAATATAGCTCCTTACTAAAACATGCTTCAGAGTGTCTCCCTTATTTTGTGCTGCATACTCTAAGTTCAGCTTTGGGTTTATAGACACTAGTTATTTTAGTTGGAAAAGATCAATATTTTAAAATTAGATTTGAACAATCTTTTATCATAAATTCAAAATCCATGGACTATGTAACAAGGCAAAAGTCACAACCAATAGAATACGTCTTAATTATATTTGCAAGAAAGAAGGGATTGGGGAGCCCATTTTTTATTTTATAAGAGTTCTGGAATGGTCTTCCCAATGAAAATAGCTTGAAAGGCCGGAAGGGGGAAAAAATCAACAAAAATATTTATTTAAATGAATCACTAAACTAGCAAGAAAGCAAAATTTTTCCAAAGAACAAAAACAAATAGAAACTGAAAGCTTTGGGAGGTAAGCACGCAGGACCGCAGCTGCCACTCTGGGGCCACCCGCCAAGGGACTGGCAGTTGTGATGGCAGGTGGGAGGCAGGAGATGGAGCAGAGGAGCCACCTGAAGTGAGCCACAGAGGAGGTCTGCACCCCGTCTAGAAAACAGAAGGCCAGGTGTCCGCCATGAGTGAGAGACAGAGAGAAACCAGCACCACCCAGCAGAGCAGAGAGTCTACCATCCCCACCCTGGTATGGAGGGGGAAGATCACCCTCTGTACTGGGGAGCCACACGTCACTCTGCCCACAGAGGTTCTGCCCCACAACCACGTTACTGCCCAGTGGGAAGACTTCCAGGGCTAAAGGTGATTTAAGGGGTCCTCAGGTGGTCTGCAGAGGCCAAAGAAAACCCACTCTAGAGGGATACACGAGCCCCACACATGCCCCAAGCAATTCAAGCACCATGGAGTACAACCCAAAGACAGCAGTCTGACCACAGGCACATCTGATGACGTAGGCGTTAAGGCAACAAGCACTGCTAGGGACAAAGAGCCCCCCATTGGGATGAAGAAAGTCAGCTCACAGCTATCAGAGTTGGTGGCAGATAAATAAATGCAATGGAGTCTTAGCTGGCCATAGAGAACAAAATCATGTCATTCTCAGGAAAGTGGATGGAACTGGAGACCATAATTTTGAGTAAAATAAATCAGACTCAGAAAAGTGTCATGATTTCTCTCATATGTGAAATGGGGGGCCGGGGGCACCATGAAAGAACGGAGACCATTGCATTGGAATAGGTTGGGGCAGGAAGTAGGAGGGGACAATGGGAATTGAAATTGATGGAATTACATTTCTAGGTATACACAAATATGCCACAGTAAACCCACTGTGCTGCATAATCTTATATCAATTAAAAAAGATATAAGACTTTGAAATGTGAATGTACCTAACACTGTCTTTAAAACACTAGCAAACACTGATGGAACAGGGAGAATTTTTTAAAATCCACCATCCCAAGGTCAGTTTTTAACACAAATTTCTCTCTCAGTAATTGTTAGATCAACCTGACAAAAAATAAATACTAAGAATATCTTAGTTAACACTTACAAGTCTTATGATTTGCATGGTAGATTTAATAAGGAGGAGCTGATAAAATAACCATTTACATTAAACAAAAAAAAATGAAGAATTAACATTCATTTCAAGGTCTCATGAAATAGTTATAAAAATCAACCATGTTCTAGGCTATAAATTAAGACTCAATAAATTTCACATAAGTCCAATAAAGGTAAAAGGAAGAAAACAGAAATAGAAAATATAAAATAGAAAATTAACATATATAGGATCGATCAAGTTTGTTCTTTAAAACAAAAATGTGGAATACTATAGAAAATAAATCGTTTGAATATTGGAGAAGGCAGAACACACAGCATGATGGAGAACTAAGGGGACATCAGTATAAACATGGCCCGAGAAAGAAGGAAGACGCATGAAGGACCTTCTGCCCAAATACCCAAACACCCAGGTGAAGCGGAAAAGCCCTAGAAAAGCACAAAACTCCTTACGAAGAAACTGAAAGACCCCAAATCCTATAATTATTAAAGAAACTTTTTGGAAGCCCTCAAAGGAAAAACACCAGGACTAGAGAGCTTTCCAGGCAAATTCTATCAAACATTCAACGGATCAAAGCCTGAATCATACACAAGCTTCCTGAAAATCCAAAAGAACACTCCCCATCTGCTTTCCTGAAGCCAGGATGACCTCGATACCAAAACCAAGCAGGAACAGGAGAAGTAAGCAACCACATAGCTCACCCCAAACACCGATGCAGAAACCCCAAACAGCGAGGAGACAGAGAGCACATAAAAAAAGATGACACATGATGACCAAATTAGTTTTTTCCCCAGGCAAGAAGGTTGATTTAATGGAAGCAAATAGATTAATATAATTCACCATATCAATAAGAAATAACTGTTCCAACCAATACAGAAAAATGTTCAATGTAATCTGATATTCATTTATAAATAAAAATTACTAACAGCCTAGAAATACATGGAGATTTTCCTACTTTGGATAAAGGGAATCCACAAAAATACACAGCAATTTAATAGTGAAAATTTCAAAGCATTTTTTTTTAAATATCAGGAAAAAAAATAAGTATGTTAAATATCACCATTGCCATCTCTCATTGTACTTGAGATATTAGCCAGGGTGATAGAGCAAGAAAAAAAGAATTAAAGGTATATGGATCGAAAAAGCAAAACAAATGATCACAATTTGCATATTATTTTACTTGTTTATTTTTATGTGGTGCCGAGGATGGAACCCAGGGCCTCGCACATGCTAGGCGAGCGCTCTACCACTGAGCCACAACCCGAGCCCCTTCAATTTGCAGATTATAAATTGTGAGCTAAAGTAAAAACCAGATCAGTTATTATAGAAGATACTTAGAAATGTTGCTAGATTAAAAAAAAATCAAACTAAAACATCCCTTGCAGCCAGGTGCAGTGACACAAGCTGAGGATCACAAGTTTAAGACCAACCTCAGCAAATCAGCAAGGCCCTAAGCAACTTGGGGAGACCCTGTCTCAAAATAAAAAATAAAAGGGGCTGGGGATGTGGCTCAGTGGTAAAGTTCTCCTGGGTTCAATCCCCAGCCCCCAGCGCTCTCAAAAATTCAGTTGTATTTCTGCATACCAGCAATCAATTAATGTAACTTAAAAATTACCATTTATGGTAACAAACAAAATCTTTGGGACTAAATCAAATAAGAGCTTGGTGGAAACACTTATGAGACATTCAAGTCAATTAAGAAAACTTAAAATATAAAATATATCTATGGAGAAGACAACAATATTTCTGAATTGCTGATTCTCCTCCAATTCATCTCCAGATTGAACAAACATCTAATCAAAGTTCCAACAAAGTTTTCTTAGAACAGGTCAATGTGGTCCTGAATTGTACATGAAGAGCAAAGGCAAATAATAGACAAGTCACCTTTGAAGGCAAAGGATAAAGGGGCACAGCAGCCCTCGGGAGGTCAAAAGTCCTAGTGCTATAGCTTGGGTACATTCACATCCTCCTACAGTGCAGGACCACCTGGTGGTAGAAATGAATGGACCTAGAGCTCGTCATATCAATGTGATTAACTCCCAAAGACCATTTTGAGCAAAATAATTGCAGGATAATATATACTATGCAATTGCATGTATCTAAAGTGAAAACCATATACTATTCTGCACCTGGACACATACATATGTTAATAAAATTATGAGAAAAGCAACAAAATCTTTAAGAAGAGGCCTGGGACAGCAGTTAGCCCTGGTGGAAAGATGGTGGCATGACTGAGGAGGTATGGGATCTTGTAAGGATCCACTAGTGCTCCATTTCTAAAGGTGAGCAGTAGCTACAGGTGTGCATGACTTATTATTCTTTTACTTACACACATTCTTTTATATGTTTGGTATAATTTATAACTTCTGAAAAAACTACTTGGACCTTTTGTTTGTAGTACTTGGGATCGAACCCAAGGGTGCTCTACCACTGAGCTACATCCCCAGACCCTTCTATATTTTAGATGGGGTCTAAATTGCCCAGGCTGGCCTTGAACTTGCAATCCTCCTGCCTCGGCCTCCTGTGTGGCTGGGATTACCAGTGTGTGCCACCATGCCCGGCTCTTACCCTATTCTAATCCAACTTTGCCTTTCAAAATTTACAAATGCAGTGAAAATGGAACCACCCTATGATCCCACAACACCCTCTGGGTAGATACCAAAAGGAATTTCAGAACGTCCGAGAGGCACCTGCACTCTGTGTGTACTGCAGTGGCATTCACAACAGCAGGGAATGAAATCAACCGGAGGGTGTGGATGGAGGAAAGTTCAAGAAGGTGGCGCCTGTTCTAACCCTTGTGGAAGGGATGACCCTGAACAGGAGCTTGCTGTATCCCACCAGCTCCTGTCTCCCCAGTCACGCCACCTCCGGTGGAACCGCTGCGCTAGGCTTCCTCTGAACCACTTTGGTCTTCAACGGTTTCATTACATACACGTGTGTTCCCATGCAGCACAGTACCTGGGTTTTCACCTTGGATAAATGAATCACATAGTATGCACTCTGCATATTTTGTCTAAAGTTCTGCCTCTGTGGCCTTGCGGGTGGACTCGGGAAAGGAGGCAGGCACGGAGGGACAAGGACCACACAATCGCACTCACAAGGACAGGCTGGAAAAGCTCATCTTGCAGGAGAGGGCAGAGCAGGGGTCTCAGAGGCTGGGAGAGGAGCGGGAGTTGAGAATGGGGAATGCTGGCCAACAAGTACAGAGTTCAGGATGGAAACGGGCTCTCAGGTGCCGTCACGCTGTGGGTGGACTGCAGTTAACAGCCACCACGTGTTTCAGAATAGCAAGGGGACTCTGAGTGGTCTCACAAGTGACTGGTAAATGTTTGAGTGATGGGCACATTAACTATCCCGAGTCGATTGTTACACAGGTCGGCACGTGCAAACCATCACACTGCACCCCACAAATATGAACAATTATTAAGGGGTAACTGAAAGTAAAACCTAAAGAAGAGTCAGAAAAAGACTTTAAGTTATGTTTTCTAAGAAAGATACTAAACGCCACTTAGATTCACATAATTGAAAGTATATGGCTTGCTCTTACCAGCGCCGCGCGAGGTAATTATAATTGAATTCAAACTGACTCAGCACATCTCCTCCTGTGGTATGAGAAGAATATTTACTTGGTAGATGAGTGACAACACAGCACGCCGCTTTCCACACAAGTTGCAAAGCCGGTCAACACTCCTTCACGTTGCTATGTACTCGAGTTTGAACCCAGTGTGCTCTACCAGCGAACTTCATCCCTATGCCCTCTCTTTTCATTTTTTATTTTGGGAAAAGGTCTCTCTGGCCTTGAACCTGTGATCCTCCAGCCTCGGCCTCTTGAATCACTTGGATTGCTCTACCATACACAGCTAGGAAAAAGCAATTTTTAAAAAATCTTATCTAGCCAAGCACAGTGGACACATCTATAATCCCAGTGACACAAGAGGATGGGGCAGAAGGACAGAGTGTTTGAGACCAGCCTCAGCAATTGAGTGAGACCTATCTCAAAATGAAAAATCTATTGATCAATCAATAAATGAAGTTTAAAAGCTAATAAAGTATATGCATTAAGAGTTATCCATATAACCAAAGATTTTTTGTTTTTGTTTTATTTTAAGGAAAAAAATAGACCATAAGTGTTCTTTTAAACTAACATTTACCTCTGCGGAAGGAAATCTACCAAGAAAAAGTGGAATTTACCAATCAAAAGATGAATTATCGGGCTAAGGTGGTGGCTCCGTGGAAGAGCACCTGCCGAGCATGGGTGAGGCACTGGGTTCAATTCTCAGCACCACATAGAGATAAATAAACATATGAAAGACCATTGATAACTAAAAGAAAAAAGAAGTAGTAGTATCAGATTAGGAGACACAAGTTAATAAGTTTTAATCCAAATAAAGTCTTTCTAAAATTATGACACAAGTCAGCGACAAAATGCATGGTTTTTAAAATAAAAACAAACAGCCAGATGCAACTATTTAGAGACCGCTGTCTGTTGGCTGAGGCGCACCTGCACTCAAAACTACCGCAACGTGAAACACAGAACGGCATCTAACATAGCTCCTAGAAACCACCACAGCAGCAGCAGCAGCATATGCAGAGCTAAGGGATGAGCTCATCACAAGGGCTCTGCTGCCACCCCGGAGGGAACCTGCAATGAGCACATACCAAAGTCTCCAGCGGAGTGGGCCTCAGGGTAGGAGCCGTGAAAGTCCATCTGAAAGAGAGAAAGCATCCGGTGGAGACGGAACTGCAGTCCAGCCCTCAGCCCACAGGCCAGTGGTCAGCAGGAGGCAACAGCTGAACCAACCAACTGCCCTGGAGGCCTCCGAGGGACTCGAGTGTCACACCAGCCCGTCCTAGGCAGGGGAGCTGGCTGCTCCAGGCTCCCTGGGTACCTGCCAAACCTCCAGCAGAGTCCCAGAGTGACCTCCAGCAGAACAGAATGAGTACCAGCTGATGACCAGATGGGTCTTTCAGGAGTGGCCAGGGGAGGTCACGATCAGATCTGGCATTTTCATATAGAAAATCAGAAATACAAAGGGAGCTATGGCTCTGAAATAGAGCCAGTGGCTGGTACTCACACCTCCTAGGACCCGGCTTCAGTCAACTGAATCAGAACATCTGCTGCCCCAAGGAGTGCCCATGAGCCCTTCTGTCCTTGTGCATGAGTCACCTGGGCATCACGAACAGAGGAAGGGACAGGAAAGGACGGAACTCTGCCCGACAGCGAGCGAGCGCTCCGGGCGACGAGTCTGCTTCCACGTGGCACTCGATTAAACTAGGTTTCTGACCTCGGGCACGAAAGCTTCACCCCGTAAGTCGCCAGCCATAGAGACGGTACTCACAGCGCTCATGGTCCTGAGGAACCCTTGTTCAATGCCCAGACTGTGCCAGCTGACGTCTGCCACCATGTGCGAGGTGATTCCAAACAAGAAAGCCACCAATTTCTCTGTGTCCTGCCAAATAAGCAAATTATAGTCATTGTGTTTGGCTTGTTTTACACCAATGTCCTATAAAAATGTCTTAGATATTGATTTATTTTCCTTTTTGAGGCTTAACAAAAAGATTAAAGGTGGGCACATTACTCTAGTTACTAAAAACTAAGTAGAACGTTTTGAAATGTTTTGTAGTGTCTCGGAACTGCCTTCAGATCCACTACCAGTGGGGACAAAATGACCGACTACATACCCCCGATTTTTTCATGTCTTAATTCAAGTGTGAACTAGGTGCCTATGGTGGTCCGGGCACTATAGGTGCAATGGTAAACAGCTGTCACAGGGGAGGGGGTCAACTCAGGCACAACACGGTCCTTGGCAGGTGTGGGGTGCATTTCTTCAGGAGTAGAGGGCGGGGCCTACCTTCTCCCAGGGCAGCGGGTAGTTCTCGCGGATATAATGGACGCTTGCATTAAGGAATGGAGTCCAGTGAGTGCTCTCAGACACGTCATGGTATTTTCCTGACAAAGCAAAAGAGGGCTCTGGATTCCCAAAAGTTGGAGAGTCTCATGCAAATCCCCCGTCGCCACCCCTGGGCTGCCCTGTCCCTTCCCCACACTCCCCCCAAACTCCCTTGATTCTCCTGCGGATGCTCAAAGGAGGCAAAGCAGATGCAGGTTCCTCTTTTGGGGAATTTTAAATCTCTCCTTTATCCATCATAATCAGCCTCCCTAAGAGCTCAAAAGAACAAAAGCAGATCCTCAAAGGCTTTCAGCACAAATTTATGACAATTGCCATTAAGTGTCACAGGACCCAATGAGTAGTTCACACAAACATCACTGGGGTAGGCCAGAGGGTGTCCCACATCACCTCTATTCCCCCACAAGGGCGGGAAAGACAGCGCTGAGTCTGTCTGAACTCCCCAGTGCCACAGGTTCTTCACAGGGTGCCAATGTCACCAGACACCTGGAAGCAACTCTCCGGAGCTCAGATTCCTCACTTCAGATTTTTCTTAATGCTATGCCCAAAATAAAAACTAAATATAAGTTTAAGTCATTAGTTTTTCTGAAAATGATTTTCAAAGTTGGAACTAAGAAATTTGAGCTGCTCCAGCAGATTTCTGGAGATGAAATATGAAATGCTTCCTGTTCCCGGGACACAATAAAAATCCAGAATCAAGTAGAGCAGTAGTTCCTTGGAACGACTTCTACTCGTCCACACTGCAGATTAGTCAGAGATCTCCAGTCCTTTGGTGGATGGCACAGACGGGACCAAGGGCGTGCTGCATGCCAGATGCCAGCCCCCAGCAAGCCCCTGTGCCGTGCCGGAGCTCCTCTGTGCACACCTTCCTGGCCCTGAGACTCCACATCACACACAATCTGCTTCTCCCCGGGAAAGCCCCGCCTCTGTCCCCATGAACAGTTGCTCAGCTTGGCGTGCTTGGCAACACAAAATGCCACTTCTTATACAATGTAAAACTGCTCTCTTTGACTCCCATTTTTCTTGGACGATGTAACCTGTCAGAGATGGATTGTCTAGATGTCAGTAAACATTCTTGTGCTCAACTAGGGACATTTTCACCCACTCCCCTTTCTGCTTATGACTTTGGATCTCATGTTTATGGTTTTGAATCATAGCAACAGACACTTATGATTTTTTTAATATCTATTTAATTTTTTAGTTGTAGTTGGACACAATACCTTTATTTTATCAGTTTGTATGTGGTACTAAATCTTGAACCCAGGGCCTTATGCATGCCAGGCAAGTGCTTTACTGCTTATGATTAATATGGTTTTGGACTCTAAAAGGTAGACTCAACCCCTGGAGGGGGCCGAAGAGGGTAGACTTGCAGCCTTCCTGGTGGCCCTCCAGCGGGTCGATCCAGACTTCTGGCTGGTGAATAAAGTTTCCGTCTCCTGCTCCAAGATTGACTCAGTGATCTAGTGCAATCTCGCCTTAACAGTTACCAGGAGGGGTGGCACCACTCCTGTAATCAGGAGGCTGAGGCAGGAGGATCACAAATTCAAAGCCAGCCTCAGCAACTCAGCAAGTCCCCATCTCAAAATGAAATATTAAAAAGGGCTGGGGATGTGGCTCAGTGGTTAAGCACCCCTGGGTTTTACCCCTGGTACAAAAAAAAAAAAAAAAAACAACAACAAACAAGGGGTAGTTAAAAAGTCAAGAACAGTCAAGCTCTCATGAATCCAGTTTGGGAAATGCTAAAGTAGAAATGACAGGTTAGAAAGGAGGAGAACTATAACACCCCACCGGCAAAATAAAAGGGCCATACATGACAGGGTTGGGGTGGCTCTCTTGGTCGGCACTTGTTCCGCATGCCCCAAGCCCTGGGTTTGATCCCCGACATCACAGGGGGAATAAAAACGGCAGGAAAATTTTTACCAATAGGACAAGTGCACAGCTTGGCTGCCTGGGATACTAACTATGGGAACAAGTCACCCTAAATATTTCATCAACCCACACAGACATCACTGTAGGAAACAACCACAAAGAATCCTGAAACTGGGAGCGGTTTCCGCAATGGCACAGTGTCCCAGGGAGCTGGACGGCTTTCCTTCATCCCAGAGCCTCTCTCCACCCTCTGCCTACCGGTGACTCCAACGTCACCTGCTTCTGCTGACTTCTTTCTTTGTCCCCTGGCTTTGGTTGGGTTTGTCTTGTGGAAAGAAAGTGAGAGCAGAGCAGAGGACAAGAGTGAGGCTGGGGGCTCAGGCTCCCCGCTCCCCTCCCTCGGGGTGAGGTGACCCTGGCCAAGGCCCTCCCTCTGCCCACGGTCCTGGTGGTCTCTCCCCTGCCATTCCGGACATCCTGTCCACACCTTTGGGACAGCACCTGGTTAAAGGTCCCTGAAGTGCTCAGTTGAGTGCGCCTCTCACACCCTTTGGGGCCTGATGGGCACAGCCCGAGCCCCGTTTATGGGCAGCCCCACCTTCAACTTGCTCAGCACTCGACAAAGGGCTCTGCGTGAACACGAGCATCAAGGCAGTGACGAGGCAGGGCGGGCACTGTCACTGCAACCTCAGACACAGAAACTGACACCACGTGGAAGGGACTTTTCCCAAGTCCAGACCAAGAGGCAACACAGAAGGAACAGGAACTCAGACCCTTTGATCTCCTGTGAAATGTCGTCTTTGACGCTGCGAAGCACTAAAGCCAGCAGGCTGCTTAGAGTGGCTGCATCCAAAAGGAGCTCAGGGTTTCAGAAAGTCAGTGCTCCAGGGGGGAGGTTTGGATAAACGGAAAAAAACAACCTGGGAAGAAGTCACTGCCTGGCTGGAAAGCATGTCTCAGGTCACCTCCACTCCTGTTAACCCAGCAGAAGCCACAAGCCATCATCTTACCTCCTTTGCAGAAGCTGGGGTAAAAGGAATCGGGAAACACGGTCCCAGCCTGATACGCATCCTGGTGTTCCAGTAACAGCTGGGGAGCAGGAAAACACAGAGATTAGGGGGCAGAGCAGCAGCCTTGGAATCACAGGCCCGTGGACTTCCAGCTGTGGAGGAGGCAGGCAGTGCGGGCAGATCAGGGATGACAGCTCATGCTCCACCCAAGACAGCGCCCCGGGATGTATCTTCAGGCTCCTTCCTACCAAGCAGGAGCGGGCTAATTAAAAAGCAAAAGTCACCTATTTAATTCCACTTCCTTTCATGTTCTGTCTACCCAGTAGGGCAGGACCTCCTGAAAGCTATTTCACGGACCCAGAGCTGGTGGGGTCATTTTATGACCCACAGTGAATTGAGAAAAATGCAGAGACTAGATTAGGTCGGTAGAGATCTATGGAAGCTGTCCACACACGTATGTATCAGCTCACAGTTGCTCCCTGTGCACTAGAGTAGGACTATGCACTTTGTGCCTCCAGAGAGTTAGAGAAGCATCCTTTTCCCTTTAACACGAGGTGAAAGTAGACGGTACGGTTTCCTTTCCAACATTCTTCCTTGGCGGGTGGCTCGCTCAGCTCCATCCCGACTCCCTCGTGGCATGCAGGCTGCGGGGCTAGAAACTGGCTGCACTTCCGCCTGCCTCCTCCACGGCCCACAGCTTCTGCTACCTGGAGGCTGTGCTGCCGAGGCCCCTAATGTGCTCCAGCACCCCGTGTCCTCAGGAAGGGTTTAGAGCATGCAGTTGCTGAGGACTGCTATGGTGGAGTCTCGGGGCCAACAACTGTCGGGGGGGGGTGGCTACTGCTGCCTCTTTTTTTCTTTTTCTGGCTGTACTCCTAGGGAGGAGCCCAGGGCCTGGGCACAGTAGGCAAGTGCGCTACCCCTGCTCCACATCTGCCACCCTGTTATTTTCCACACCACAACGTGCAAGCCTGTTGCATCTGCGCCTAGGGAAGGGGACCTGGCCATGTGACAACATTCAGGGAGCAGTTCCCTGGCAGCCAGGTCCACGTGTCCTTCTGGGCGTCTTCTCTGGACACTTGGCTGGCGGCTGCCCCTCTGTCCTCACAGTCTGAGCAGTGAGCGCCTAATTCCTGGCACAGTGTCCTCCGCTGCCTGCCAGCCCAGGAGTTTCCACGATCCTCACAAAGACGGAGGAGCACGATGGGCGAGGAAGAGTGGGCAGCCCAACCTCCTCCTCTTCAACCAGGGCTCACTCATCACGTGGACCAAAAACGGAGGCAAAGAAGCCCCCGAGAACATGGCCCACGAGGACAAGAGGCAGCACCTGCTTCCTCTTCCCAGTTCTCACAGAAGAGAATCGCTCTTCCCAAGGTCAGCCTGGGCCCTGACGAGCCCTCGGGCCAACCCCTGGAGCAGCAGGTGGCCCTCTCCTCCCTGCCACATGCTCGGCTCAGAAATGGACACTTGCTAGGAGCCAGAGCTGGGGAAGATGGGCTCCTCTTTCTGGAGGCTGCAGAGTCTGGGGCAGGGTCCTCCGAGGGGAAAAAGAGACCACAACTCACCCTGGGGCCTAGTTCCACCCCAGGGCTGTCAGTCACATGGATCAATAAACTCCCTCCATCCCCCGACCAAAAGGCAGCCCAGTTGGACCCTGGTCCCTTAGAAATAATAATTAACTTCATAGGACACTTATCTTGCCAGCTAAGGCCTAACTGCTTTACCTGCGTGGGACTTGACGAATCTGCTCCTCTCCCGAGGTGGGTGTGTCCCTTAACACGGCCAAATAATTCTGAAGTCAACTTTGAAAAAAATAAGTGTGCAAAAGAGTTGGGAAGAAAGAGTCCTGAGGGAGGCCGAATCCTTCGGGTACATTTTTAAGCTACAGAAACAAATACAGTTTGATACAGGAGCCAAAGGAACAGACCGTGAAATAGAAAAGAGCAGAGAGAGGCTCGAGCATGCGTGTTACGTAATATGTGACAGATGCAGGCCGAGGGGACAGTCAGCAAATGCCCCATCACTGCCCTATGCACGGGTCCACCATGGATACACCGCAAACGGGTTCCGTGCTTCACCCAGGCAACTTGGAATTTATACCAAAAACAGGTCACTGGATGGATCCCTGTTACGGTCTCTACCAAAATAGACCTGGGATGGATTAGAGAGCCGAGTGTCCAAAACTAACAAAATTAGGGGCTGGGGCAGTGGCTCAGAGGTAGAGGGCTCGCTTAACATGCGTGAGGCCCTGGGTTCGACCCTCAGCACCACAAATATAAAATAAAGATATCGTGTCCACCTGTAACTAAAAAAAAAAAAAAAGTCAATAAAGTGGGCACAGGGGTAGAGCACTCGCCTCGCATGGGCAAGGTCCTGGTTTCATCCCCAGAACCAACAAAACAAACAAAAATCAGCAAGCTGGAAGGAGTGGATGCCGTTTCCTCCTGTGCGACATTAGGTCCACCTACATAGTTTTGGTCCATGGTTCCTGGCTCTTAGCTTCCCCCCAGAGGCCAGCCATAAAAACTGGCATTTCTCTCCGCCAGGGCAAGTCAGAGGCTCCGCCTTGCATCTGGCCATGAAGCCCTCTGACCTACCTGCCTGATAGCCAGCCCCCAAGAAAGGGTCCTGCCCCACACATGCGAGGGAGGAATGTGGAGGAACAGCCCTGGCAGGACTTGCCAGTGTCCCTGCCCGGCTGTCACCACCCCGTCCCACCCTTCCCACCCAGCCACATTTCCACACAGCCATCCCTGCTAAGGCCGTGCCTACAGTGCAATCTCCATAAAGCCCCAAAGGACAGGGTTTGCAGAGCTTCCGGACAGCTGTGCACAGGGAGGGCCACAGGAAGATGCCACCCAGGCACCGGGAGGGCGACTCCCCCAGCTCCCAGGAGGAAGCGCCCAGGGCTCAGTGCTGGGGACTCTTCCACTCCTCTCCGGCCACGGATTTCTGGCCTTTATAACACCCTCTGCAGGAAGTTTGTAAGGACTGTGTTCCCGAGTTCTGTGAGCCACTGTGGCCCCTGTGCCAACTTGAGGAGGCGGCATCGGACCCCCGATTTGTGGCCAATCTGCCAAAAATTCCAGAGGCCTAGCCTTGTAACCAGTGGAGTCACAGCTGACCTGGATCAGGACACCCCGCTGGTGATGGCTGCTGCTTGCTGGTGGGGAGGAGCCCCCACACCCTCTGAGGTCACAGCCTTCGTGCCCATCACGGCGGTGTGGGAGGGCAGGAGAAACCCGTCATTTCTCCTGCCCTCCTCTTGCACTCATGTCTTCTCTAAATGTCTGTCATTTAGAAGTTTTTGGTTTCATCTATTTCTGGGCCCAGGGGATTCAGCCTGCCGTGCCACAGCAGAGGAGACTCGTGGTCAAGATGCTAACTTCATGCAAGGAGATTAAGCACGAAAATAAACATTGAGAACAGAAGCAAGGGGTCTCGGCAGGGAGAAAAGGGTTACACACAGAGACACAGAAAAGGCTCGAAATAGATCCTGCGAGATCAATCAGAATTGGCTGTGTTTTCATGGGATTTACGGTTTTAAATAGGACATAGATAATCAGTGGACAGACAGACTAGACAGCCAACTTGAAGCCAACTGAGAACAAAACTGGGCATGGCAGCACATGCCTGGAATCCCAGCAACTCAGAAGGCGGAGGCAGGAGGCTCACAAGTTCAAGGCCAGCCTCAGCAACTTAGTGAGGCCCTGTGTCAAAAATAAAAAATGGAAATTTCTAGGAATATGGCTCAGTGGGGGAGCAACCCTGGACTCAATCCCAGTACCAAAGACTAAGAATAGCAATAAGAACCACCCGCCGTCCTGAGGAGACAGGCAAGTGGATGAGCTGGAGTGAAAGCCACCTTCTAGCACAGTGCCAACCGAGAAATGCAGGAGACGGGCAGGATCAGAAATGCCACTTGGCAACCATCGTCACCACAATCGTCTCTGGTACGAATCGCCATAGGTGCTAAAACCAGCGGGCACAAGCTGGGTGAGAAGTGGGACTCAGCCTCACCAGCTCTCTCCACAAAGCACTTACTCCCTGAAGAGTTAAAAAGTAGAAAATGCTCATCAACTTTCCAGTGTCAAAATGAGGCAGATGCCACTTTAACCAAGAGATGACAGCTGACATCCCTAGGACATCTGCTTCCAGAAAAATGGACGACAGACACACTCTTCCCTACTCCTCCCCCGAGACACAATGGAGAAGCTGGACACGCAGTGAACAGGGCCTCCCATGAAGACCAGAGTGACGTCAGCCAGGATGGGCACTTCAGGTGACAGTGTGGCGACTTCCTGGGGTTTTGTTTTCTTTGGCTTCTTGGGCCCTGAACTGGGTTCTGGAAGAGCCACCACCTGGAGCACCATGGGACAGTGACATAAAAACAAACAAAGCCTGTTCCCTCTAGCCACAGGGCCAAAAAGAGCAGCCTCACGAGACAGAAAACGGTTAATAAGCTCTGTTCAGCCATCGCCACAGTGAAACCCTGGACCAACCTTCCCATCCACTGAGGCCCCGTGAGCAGCCCAGACTTGCACCTGGCCAGGCTGTGAGGAGGCCCATGTCCTGCTGGGCTGAGGTCTCAGAGGCTGAGGAGGGGACAGGAGGGAGGGGTCCTGCCGTGCCCTGACCTGGGGTAAATGGGGTCGCCAGGAGAGCCCAGACTCCCAAGCCAATCTGCAGTAATGAGGGGTCCGTCTTCTCCCCACTGGGCTGGGGTCAGAAGAGGCCCAGGGGAGTCAGGCTTTCCCACCACCCTGCCCACCGCATCAGCAAGGCCAAGCGAGAGGCCGCAGTTACCACCCCCCACCCCCAGCCGGTCTCAGTGGAGGCCGAGTGTGGAGGCTGAGCTCCCAGCCTTCCCTCACAGTGGTGTCAGAAGCACACAACTGAAACAGGAGGTTTAAATGAGATCCAGAGTCCCACAGCCACACACCCATAGGTCCAGGTTTCACCCGAATCATTCACCACACCAGGAACAGCAAAGGTCTCAAACCTCAGAACAGATCCCAGCATGGAGATGTCAGAAATGCTGCAGTTCTGACAAACGCTGTCAACAGCCACCACCATGTCTCAGCAGTCAAATGTGACCACACTGGAGAGGAAACAAAGTCTCGGCAAAGAGACGCAAGATGCGAAGAAGAGCCACGTGGAAGTCTAGAAATACAAGGTACCAGCAAAGGGCCAGACTGGCAGTGCATGCCCCCTGATGCTGTCAACGAGAAGAATGCCAAACCTTCAGCGTCCTCCGAGAGCCTCACAAGAAGGTGTGGCCTTCGGGGACTCTAGTGATGAGGCACGAGAAGAACCCCGATTAAGGTGCATCCCACAGTTACCATGCCGGACTCCCCAAAACACCCAGTTATTAAAGCCAAGGCCGGCTGAGGAGATGCTCTGGTCTGAAGCCAAAGAGGACCGACAACCAGCCTACCCTTCATTCACTCCTGCCCGAGTTCATCCTGGACCGCGAACGGCCGGTGAAATGTGAACGAGGGCCTGGAATTGGGCAGTGGTCCTACTATGATGCCGACTCCCAATCCAGGTTATTATACTATGGTGTGTGGGAAATATCCTCCACATTAGGAAACTCACAGAGATGTTAAAAGGTAGTGAGGACCACATTAACAACCAACCCACAAACGACTCGGGGAAACCAACGCGCCCAAGTTGGGAGGATGAAAAGGCAGGTACGATAACCTGTCGGAACCTGGAAAGGACAATGTGAGAATTACTTATCTGGTGTTCTCAGCCTGACAGGTTTGTGTAATTTCAAATAAGCTAAAATAGAGAATTGGTTAAATAAATGATGCTAGCTCTGGATAACATAAAAGTGCATGATTAAAATTATTCTGAAGATTTCTATTTACTGACATTGAAATATATCTTCTAATAAGTGAAAAAAGTTACAAAACTATGTATGATTTTTAAAAAAAAAAAAAAAAGAAAGTACAGAGAAAAAGAATATACCTGAAATAATGTAAATAAAGCAAGACACTAATACTAATATTGGTTACTTTGAGGTATATAATACACATTATATTTATATATGTATGTGCATATATGTATGTGTATATATATGTGTGTGTGTATATAAAAACTTTTTTTAACCTATGAGCTTCATATCAGTTTTATAATCAGAAAGGACAAAAGTTTTCTCCATTGCGAGGGGCGGAGAGGGTGACATGCTGCGCTGATTCCATGCTAACACCCACATTCTATTCAGAATTCCATACAGAAAAGGTAAACGGGGACAATAGTGACTACCAAAGTGAGGTCACTGGGCTTCCCCAGCTCCTGCAAATTTATGAACCGATTTTCCCAGCTTTATGATCGACTATGAACTTGGTTTGAGCAAGCCAAAGTCTCTGAAGCCCAGTAACCGCTGACCGCGTTGACAAGATGACCCCTGAACCCACCGTCAGACCCTGAGAATCCTGCCCACCCTGTCTGTGGGGCTTGTCTCTTGGCCAACAAGTGTCCTTCAGGCCACGTCCCCCAGTGTTATAGCAGCTGCACTAACGAGAGGTCACACAGAAAAGGGTTCAGATGAGAGCAAGGAAAAAGAGCAAGATCCCCAAACGGGAAGATGCGCATCGTCAGTCTCTGGAAAGGGCCTCAGTGGTGACGGTGTAACAGGTGAAGAATCCCCGTATGTGCAGACGCCACACAGGAGGGCGAGCACTCCGCACCTGGTCCTTCCCAAAGGTGACATTCGGTGTGTGGCTTTAAAGCCACGCTGCAGGGGACACCTGGGTCATTAAGCTCATCCTACCAGCGTGAACCCTACTGGAAACCACTCTGCACACTTGGGGCTGACGGGCCACAGGCTTCTCCTTCCCACATACTTTGCTTCGAGATCAGCGGCAGCATCCACCAGATATAAATGCAGCTTTCCCTAGAGGCTGGCTAAGGTGGCACCTAAGGAAGCCAGGACTGCTGGTGGAAAGTGACGTGGGGATTCAGTCGCTCTGCACTGCCTGACCCCGCTTTCCACCTGGATCAGCAAGGCCTCAGGAAATCACCAGGTCCACCTCCGATGTCTGCAGGGAATGTCAACCACCCTCACCAAACTTCGTATTTAAGAATCACCTTGACCCCACATTATTCTTTAGCTTGTCAAACTAGAGTGGTGCACAGGGTCAGAACGGGTTCAACTAATTTGAGGGTGGAAAAAGGCGAGCCACCAGGAGTCCAAGTCGACCAGGAACACAGAGGGGGTCTCAATGTGCTCAGGGACAGAGGCTGGCCTGGACTGGGTGCCATCCCCAGGGCTGCGAAACCAAACAAGCAAACTTCCTGCTCCTCTGGGTGATGCAACCCACGGACAACAAACAGTGACGGAAACTAGGAAAAAAGCTTCTCTCCAGTGTGACCTCTCTTTATAAAAACAAAGATGCATCGCTTTAAAATTTCTCTTGTTTTTTCAAATTACGATTCACATCATTAAAATATTTGCATTTTATAATAACACATATATAAAAGGTTCAAGTGGCTTTTTAACCGTAATATGAAAGACATGAGATGGCTCTTAGGATCAGCCTGTCCAGCCTTGCTGGACACCCACAGTGGAGGTTGATGCAGAGGAGAAAGAGCCAGGCTCCATACCTTTCTGTAGTCTACGTGACCCTCATGAAGGCGGAGAAACTCCAGAGCTCTGTGACCTGGAAGAGAGGAACGTGCACGGGTTACATGCACCTGCACTCAGAGGCCATTTTCAAGGAAAATGCACAATTTTGCAGTCAAAAACTGTCAGGGAAGCGGAACATGAGGATGAAGTTCATACTCAGAATTTATTTAGGCCTAATTGCATTCGTATAGTATTTATATTATTACTATGCACATCGGAGCTGCGTGGTGATTTGGTTTCTGCCTACCTAGCTCGGTGACCTTGGGTCAGTACTTGACCTATGCAGGCCTCAGTTCCCTGCTATGGAAAGTCAGGTCAGAAGCACCCACCTCCACAGCTGGCGGAGAGAATCAGAAAGTAAACACTAAGTGACAGGCACAGTGGCCGGACGGGAGGAGCCACAGAAGCAGTCATCATCTTATTTTGCCTCAGAACCGAGGTAAATAAACCCACGTAGGAAATATAATATGTAAAACCGTGGGCTGCACCAACGGTGGCCAGATGTGTCTAACACTGGAACACTCTAATGGGGATCTCAGAAGGCCGCCCACGCCACCCACCACCCTGCGAGCCTTCTCGGGACAGGAAGATTGGCATTCCTGTGAGGAAACACTCAGGAGACACCTTTTTACCATGAAACACATCCACATCCACTTTTTAAATTCCTATAACAAAAAAATAAAGGCCTTCCTACACTGAAGACATGACTGTAAGAGACAAGTCACAGCCTACGAACACTCCACACAGGACCCCAGGGACTCCAGACCAAAGCTCTGAATGAGGCCCAGTTTGGATCAATCAGTTCACCAAAATGTCACCCTTCTACTC